TTTTTWAAAATAATAACTATCATACTTTTGTAGGCAATGCCTACCATAGAAGTTAATTTTTTGGTTTAGGTGTTAAAGATGGCTTCTTATATTCTGCTTTCTCCACTTTTTAACCAGCAAGTTGAGAATTGCATGTTTTTCTAAATTTTCCCAGTGTTACTGGGACCTTAATTAACATCTTAATTAGGAAGCTGTTCAATTTTTTTTTTTATTAACCCAAAACTTTACATAAGTGGACTGTGCAAATACCTTTTCCACACTAGAACTAGTGCAGAGATTGTGTGGTAAGTATGGATCATATGCATAATTTTTTCACAAAGCTGAAGAAACTAATTTAGAAAACAGGTTTTTATTCTTAAATGTGCACTTTGTGGTTCAACATTAAAACTTCAAGGTACAGTCACACTACAGTTTCCTTTGGTGTTTGTAATCTCTAATGGTAGTACTTCCTATAAGTCTGGGAATGTCTTGGAATGGYATTTAATTTTAGTGTTTAAATTATTTCTACAAGTAGACTTCAAATTACATATTTKGGACCACAGGGAGGCCCAAACCCGAGGCGCCTGTTTTCTATTGGAAATATCTCTCCTGTATCTGAGAGAAAAACTCTAAAGAAGCAGAATATRATTGTTCTAATATGCACTGGTAGATAATCTTCTGAAATGTGTAGTTAATACAGTCATACAAAACATRAGAGTAAGCTAGTTTTATAGTCTTGATACTTGAATATAGCTGTATCATTTCTTGCCAGAGRTACAGGATTTGGATCTGTGCAAATCCATGGCTCTCAAATGAAATGTTATAYGAACAGATTTCTGCTTGAYACTGAAAGAGCTGAAGTTAGCAGARCAAGTGGAGCCTGAATTTGGYTCAGCTGTCTTGRTTTCAGATAGGGTATTGCTACTAAACTTAGGAGTAAAGTGGTAAAGCACTTCTTGACATGTGATGGTGTTTTTCCATTTSTTTTGCAAGACTGATTAGCATTTTAGATGTCTCAGGATTTGCATATGTATTGTTTAATTGTGTAGTATAAAGGATGTCAGTATGAGACACTGTAATCATTTGTTAATCTAAACACTATCTAATGTAGTTATCTCATACTGACACTTACTGATTAGATATCTTTCTAAATTCTTTCTTCTGACAGCTGGTGTTATTGATGAGGATTACAGGGGAAATGTTGGTGTGGTACTCTTCAACTTTGGCAAGGAGACTTTTGAAGGTAAGTGTTAAGCTTGGCAGAGCCTAATTCCAGCCATCTGACAGAACGAGAAACTAATTTTTTCTTYAAAAGTTTATGCAGAGTCGGAATTAGCTGGGAACATCTTTCTTATCTCAGTTAACCAAACCACAGATACTTAAAAATGTCCTTTTAAGGGAACATGAAAAGATTCTACTCACAGCAAATTAACAGCATGCAACAAAACCACCCCCAAAACTACCACACCACCACAAAGGCAAGCCAAAACAAAACAACCCTACTCAGCTAAGCTTTAGATTCAAGCTATACTTAAGTGCAACTTTTTATTAAGTTTCTACCTTCCTCTGAAAAAAAAATAGCTGAGCAGTGTTTGAGATAAAACCTTCTCCAGAATCCTGGGAAACATAAGTAATAAAGAAAAGATTTTTCCCTTCATTATGCTGTCTTTATGCAAAAAGTCAGTTTTAAGCTTCAGTGCCCAGTTAAAATATTGTCAGTGTTTTTGTGGCCTCTTCTGCATCGTCACATCACAAGATTTTTATGGAAGTTCTTTGAACCAGATAGGTTACTAGTGAGAAAGTTTTCCTTTTATCAGTTTGCTTTTTTTCCCTCCAAATTCCTGGATCTATTTCAGAAAAGGAGCTACATACAGCTGTCTCTCATCTCTGCAGTGCTTGTGCATAATGATACTTAAGATRCCAGAGTGTGACAGCAGGAATGAATGGAAAGGCCTTGAGCTGGTACAGCTGCTGACRCTTCACCTTAAAAGGACCAAACAAAAGCTTTTCTTAACCTGTATTTTTCTGGGACTGTTAACATCTGCTTAACTAAGTTTCAAACTTATACTACATTCTGATATTCTTGAGAGGAGATTGTCTACAGTCTCTATTAATTGTTTACTTTTGAAGGAATTAATAATGTTTTTAATTTTCTGCAGTTAAGAAAGGGGACAGAATCGCCCAGCTCATCTGTGAACGCATTTATTATCCTGAGTTAGAAGAAGTTGAAGTAAGTTGCCAAAAGAAAATATTTCTGCTTTTTTTCAATGATTAATAGTTTAAGATACTTGTATATATACCGGATGAAATATATAGATAAATACTTCGCTAAAATTACCGTGTTAAAACTGCATAGCAGCAGTGCTACCTGAATGAGTCTTGATTCTTTGTTTGCAGTTGTGTGGATTTGGTTTTTTGCTAATTTTTCAGAGTTTTTGAGTAACAGTTCAGTATATACTAGAAAAGGTTGTCTYACAAGTATTTGTTTAAGTTTGTACAAAGATATTCTAAAGTTTCTCATACGCATTTTTTTATTTCTTAATTATAACTATTGTTACAAGTACATGATAGACAGTATCTGTGTATAGAAACAAAAGGCACCAAACCAACTTATCATAATTGATGTCTTTCAGGCTCTGGATGATACAGAACGTGGTGATGGTGGCTTTGGTTCTACTGGAAAGAACTGAAAATTACTTGAATACACTTTCTATATATTTTTTTTTTTGTTACGCTATTTCTAAATTTTCATCTGAATTAGAAGTAGGATTTTTGGAGTACATAAAAATATTTCAAGTTTTATTGAGACTTSTCTGTTCTCCAGTGAATTTGTCTTCATAACAAGGAAGTGTGCATGACTGGCTTGACTTACTAGTTTGATGTATTTTTTCTTTCAAGTTCCTTAGCAAAAGGAACACWTTGGTTATGTGGCAATTATACTGTAATAAATTAAAAAAACAACTTTATGATTTATTTTATTTTACTCACCTTATCTTAAATGACCAATTGTTCCCTYGAGGGTTTGTGTTAGTCTTCTGAAAGCTGTCCTTCACGTGGCTCAGGTTTTCACAGAGAGCCTATTTCATACAGCATCAGTGACAGCATTGATATGGCTTCCTACTCTCAGCCCTAAATCAGAATAACACAAAGATATTTATTATTGCATCTTCTACAACCTGTCCTACAGCCTTCTGTTCAAAGCTAAAGTTCTGACTTTGAYCCTTTTCCGATCTTCAAGTTTTTCAGCACTTTTAATTTAAAACAAAAAGCAATAGTGTTTGTATTACAATAAYACAACTCATCTAGAAATAATTTCTRTATAGTAAATAAGAGCTATGAAATAGGTTGTTGAAATATTTGTTGCAAACTTATTAGTAAGTTACTGTATGGAAGAAAGATTCTGAATTGCTGAAGCAGTGCACAGTTTGGTTTTTCTAAGTTTACTTTTGTCTAGTTAACAGAGAATTCTTTTGGAATCTGTCCTAAACCTGATTCAATAAGTGTGTGGAATTTCTTAAATGCCTCTCTAACTTTTAGGTGAAAGAACATGCACAGAGGAGAAGAAACAAAAAAATAAAGTGACTCTTTTTCCACTTTACGTAAAAGAATCAAAAAAGGCTCTGAAGCTCTCACGCTTTTTTTCTGCAGCTGCCTTTCTTTAAGATTGTCTTATCTGGACGATCACAGGTAGGATATAGTATGCTTTAAGTTTTAGCAGTGGAAGGGTGGGCCTTTTTTAGACTGATTCATACCATTCTTCTGCTTGGTAGTTTCAGCTCAGGATAATACTGTAGGTATTAGTTTCATGTCCTTGTCTAGGACTATTTCTAGTGAAATAGGCCCAAAATACTACACATTTCATAGAGTCTATCCCAACCTCCCCCACAAGGATCTGGAAAATGAAGAGTAGTGTGAGAGCATTCAGATCCCTTCAGCAATGGGATAGGCATTACATTGGCTTGGCAGTGCGGAAACAATAAATACATTCATCTTTGACTTGGGTAGAAGTTTTCTCCTCTGTGCATGATATGCTGATTGGTCTTTTTGCTGTTGTTTTTCCTTACCCCTCATCACAAGACTGTACTTTTATCTGTACTCCCAGACCATCAGGAGCAGGCTCACCATGCAACAGCCCATTGTAAGCAAGGAGCACATCATACCAATGCAGTCTAAATGAACTGGAAAAGCTGAGCTTGACACTAAGCTTCTTCAGTTCTGTMACATGCCAAAAAGGAACTTCAATTACCAAAGGCTATTTAAAGGTCTTAAAATCTGTGATTCTTTTGTATAAAGCTGTTTCCTCTTGGCAGACTGTAAGTCTAGAGAAAGTTTTGCTGCAATTTTTAGTTTCCACCTACCAAAGCACAAACCCAGCATGGGATACACTGATGAAAGTGCTTTTTAAAAAAAGACTGTACAAGATGATCTCACTTGGAACAGCWATTTAAAAGGAAGAAGTTCTATTGATACTCATTACTTGTTGTACCTGTTGGAAACATCTGATTTCTGTTTCTGAAAATGCTAATATTACAGATTCTGAGATAGTTCCTGAGATAGTGCTTTTTCTAGCAAATGCTTATCTCAAACATAGAAGAAAAAAGCAAATTTATATATGCATGCCTGCTGTTACTTTTCAATAAGAAAACCATTCTCTAAGTGTCATTACCAAAAAGCTCTTTTATTTTGAAACTCGGTATGGTGGAGTTCCTTTCCATTGTTTCTCAGTACCTCTCTAGAAAAGCATGTTATGAGTTTTAGATTGTTACAAGGCCCTTCCCACTASGACCTTGGAAAAATTTATCTGAAATGAGAAATGCTTTCAAGCTCACCATTACACAGAGCTCCTTCTACTCAGATCATTGYACATGGGTAGCAAATTCTGATAACTCCTGTTGCAGTGTTGAGGTTTGCTTCAATAGGAGTAGCAAATCTAATATTTCTAACCTGGCAACAAGAGTTACCATGGTACTGAGAGTTCATAAGTTGATACTGCTACYGCAGATCACGGCCTGCATTTGAAACTTGTAGAAACTCTACTTGTACTGAGTGGAGACTTCTTACAACGGCATTTGCTACTTTATGGTCCAAACCAAACTATACATCTTATTTATAGTCCCACAATTCGATTAATATGAAAACCATTACCTTCCCAATTATTTTCACATTCCCTTTTTTCCTGTGCTATCTGAGACCTCTCCTACTTACATTACCTTGTTGTAAATTAGTTCTGTAATTCAGTGAAAAGCTRCCTAAGTGTGTCATTGAGGGCACATGCTTCAGCTTGAGCAAATAACTTGAGGAGAAGCTGTCCAACAGTGCAGAGGGCTCACTGCTGTGTAGACAGATTCATGTCTGCAGAGTCTGTCACTGAGGTGTGATCTCAGCTCACTGCAGGTATGAAACTGAAGAGATGTAAAGCTCTTTCCAAAGTAACAAAATGAAAATAACATCAAGCAAAAATTATGTTGTACTGTTTCMAGTACAACATTTGTTTTCCAGACAAAGCTACTTTTTAATTCAACTWCTCTTATCTGGAGTTACCTAAAGCTCGGGGCACGATCTTGTGGAACATCCTCTGTGTAAATGAAACATGAAACTTTYATAAATGAAAAGTCATTTGTTGGGAATTCTTACCTACAGCAGAAAAAGGCATTTTCCTGCAAGGAAAGGAGAAAGACATTACTAACTAACAATCTGCTTCCTTTCTTTTAGAAATGGATTTGTCTTTTTACAGGGAGAGAGAAAATCTCACCTTCCACCCCAGGTGAATTTGGAAGAAAGTTCAGATGTTTGGCCCCAGATTCACCTCTATAGTTTAGGTTCCATTTTGATATTTAAGAAGATTCTGTTTTCTGATTGCAGCAGCTGCAATATTTACGATAACCTCTATGTCCTCAGAAAGGCAGAAGCTCATAAGCTGATGAGAGTTTTGAAGAAGCAYGGGCTTCCTATACAACTCCTACTGCTTCTTGAACTCTAGTTTTGGACAAAAATCTTGAAAGTAAAATTATGGCAATAATACCATTGCTACCATTCATCTTTAGTMCTTTCCTTCCCCCCACAGTGTTAACCGGGTCTTTAGCAGGTGAGCATTTAAGCACAGCTTCCCCATTCAAGTACTGTTATATTACTCAGTGGCACGTTAGGAATTTTTTCATCTATTTAATGTTTTCTAGGTCAGCCACTAGATGGCACTTAAAGTTTGCGTTCTTTTCCACCTTTTTTTTTTCAGAGGTATTTTTTAAAGCTCTCTTCATCTATAATTAAGAGTTAATGACTCCCACCGGGACTATGTTGGCAGAAAGCAAGATGCAGCAATATTTGAGTGAAAGCAGGCAAAAGTATAACCATTAAAGGGGGAACAATGACTATAATTTAAATAAGATTTGGGTGGTTGCAGTGTTTGCATAATCCCTCCTGGCATGCAAGAGCAGTAGAGAAGCCTGTGGCTTTGCTCTCCTGCTGCGTTTCAACAAAAATGGAAAATTGTAATGAACAGCAACATTTTTCCTATCTTTCGTATTCTCTCTGTTCTTACTCTCTTCCTCCATTCCTTCAAGTGGAATGCAGTCAACTTAAGGATTGCATTGTAATGAACGTAATGTATAGCCTGGTAAACTCCATACTGGTTTTTCCAAATCAGATGCCTCTGGCTGCAAGTTCAGGATACAAATTAAAACTTCCTTAATACACGTTAATTCAGCAAAGGTAGGTGATATATAGGAACCTGAATTATGTAAATTAAGGTTCCCTAGTTCCTGTATTGGTCGCTACCCCTGTAATAATACAGTCTGGAGCTCTTATATTTGTCTTACTCCCCACCTTCTTTTTTTTTTTTTTTTCTTTTTTTTTTTTTTTTTTTTTTTTTTTTTTTTTTTTTTTTTTTTTTTTTTTNTTTTTTTTTTTTTTTGTTAAATAACTATCATTGTATTTTGGCTTAAAGATGGTTAAGTAAGTTTTGGTATTAAGTAAACTTCTATGACCCTGCCTATTTCCTGTCCCGTCAAACCTTTCCTTGTAAGAATAACAGTGTCCTTTTATTTGGTGGAGTGTAGCATGATTTTTTTGGCAGGCCCAACATTTTTGACTTGCATAAATTTGTGACCTCAAGTGCAAGAAAAGTGAATGCTTGCTTCAGTACCTCATGGTTTCTGCCTAAAAAGAAAAGTGTCCACATCACTAACCATTACAATTTCTCAAGAAAAATTATCAGTGCCCTTATTCCACCTGATTGCACATGACTGCACTTCCAAAGAAAAGAATCAGAAATAAAAATAAGTATTTTGCACCTAGTTATGTAAGTTACCGAAAGCCTGAAAATATAGGGCAGACTGTACTGCCTTACTAGTCTCTAGAATTGGCACACATGGCACTTCCCTCCCTAACAGCTATTTGGCAGTCTCTACCTCCGTAAGGATGTGATTCTGCAAAGTGTAAATTTGGGTCTGCTGCTGGGCAAAGAATCATTGCATGGTTAAAGGTTGCAGGATCAGGTCTGAAGTGAATTTACGTAATTATTTTCCTAAACTTTCCCTCCATTAACTGTGGCTATTTAGCTCTTTACCACTGAAGTGATGCTTTTTCCCTACTCAGAACACAGCAAGAAAGCCTTTTACTCTGCCAAGTCTGAAAAACTGACAGATTAATTTTATAATTTGAAAGCTCTCATCCAGAAAGTAACTACTGTGTTTTAACATGTAAAGTATGTTTAAACAAACACATGTAAGCTATATATGCTTACTTACTTGTTTCCCCTTAGATTTCGATGGKTTTTTTTTCATTAGGTCACAAAAATTTTATTTTAACCTTTGGGTTTTTAGAGAGCATTTGAATAACAAAATTTGTAACAAATAAGAGTTTTGTATTGATAGTAGCAAAGGAATTTGTTTGCTTTCATTTCGTAAAAGGAAAGYGGAAAAACAAACAGACATGAATGTAGCATCTTTGGCCAGATTCTTTTAA